GCCTGATGTCGGACACCTCCAGGGAAGAAGCCTGCTGAATCCGCATATCACAGAGCAACTCTCTCACAACAGGACTCTGAGGAACCCAGGGAAAAAACTTCCACCCTTCAACTCCCCCGTGCAACATGAAGTTTCTTTTCTACCTGGGAGAACTTTTATAATCTTTGAATTCTCCTCAACCTGACGAAGGGTGTTTAGCCCCGAAAGCTTGCGAAGAAAAACGTGGGGGTTTTTTGGCTACTATTTAGTTGGTCTAATAAAAGATATTGCCTCTAGCACATGAGTTTTGTTTGCCAGCAACACTGAAGAATTTATCAAGGCTTGTCTCACATGCCAAAAACAAAGGCCAAGTCAGGCAAAAGAGCTCACTGGTGGCACAGGAAATACTGGCCATCTGGAGCAAAATATTAGGTATTAGATTTGTTTATGCAGATGGGGAAAAAACTATGTACTCATTCTGGAGCATCAATTCTTGCTTCCTCAAAATAACTATAATGCAAGATATTACAGATAAGCAAGTCCCCATTATCCTTCATCCAATGGGATGGTATAAAATGGTGTCAATGTAGTAAGTGTCTGCTGAAAAATTCTGTGGATTCATACTCCGATTTATTTCTAATAGCGTTAAGATACAGGATAACACCAATGAAACAAAGTTCATGTCTCCAGTGTTCAACCTGACGTCAGAGGAACTGGGGATTTGCAGAAATTTAAAGATGCAAATAACACTACACTAAAATAGCAATGTGACTTCTGCTCTACTCAGCACTGGTGAACTGTCATAGTGTGTCCAGTTTGGGGGCATCACGCTTCATAAACGATGTGAACAAATTAGGAAGAGTTGAGTGAAGAGCAACAACAAATGGTAAGAGCTCAAGGAATCATGAATTATGAGAAAAAAACTGGGACTACTTAGTCTAGATGACAGAACAGGCTCCCCAGAGAGGCTGTGCAATCTCCAGCCTTGGCAGTTTTTAAGAGCAGGGTAGCCAAACACTTGGCTGGGATCATTTAGACCAAGATGAGCAGGAAGTTGGACTAGAGGACTTCCAGCCCGATTTTCTATGATTCTATCTGGGCACGTTCCACTATTTCACTTGATGCGATAGATAGCTACAATGGAAATCATTGTTTGCAAACAGCAGTAATGACACGTTTCCAGCTCTACGGTCTTGAGCTAGCTACCTCAGGGGTTCAAACATATAAGAGGAGTAGGAGGGCAAGGCTCCTAATATCCAGAAGGAAGGAAAATAAGGGGCACTGTGCTACTGTTTCACAATGAATCAACCATGTTAGGTTGGTAAAGCTGAGGCCACAGATATAAAGCTGCAAACATACGTGACAACTACAAACAGCTTTGGCTTCACTCGGATTTCACCTCGTGCCGGCTAAGTCATGACCACCCCCTTATTTAGTGGTAACAAGGCCTGCCACGTTCCCCATCTGCCTTACCCAAATATATTGGTGACCATGAGATGCTCAGATGAGACAGTCATGGGGTGTTTCATATGGACCTGCATTCACCAAGCTCTGTATTACTACATTAAGATGACCCTTTGATCTCTCCAGTTATACCTTCCAGAATAAATAGCAGCTGCTCTGTAGAGACAGTGACCTTCATCCAGCCGATCGCTTTCCTAAGAAGCTGAAATTCAATATTATTTATTTAGTGAATGCAAACCCGTGAAGCCAAGCAATAGCCTCATCATTAACTGAATTCAATATTATTAATCCGTCTCTTGGTTTGTAGAGGGGACACTCCTCAATGATGTGCGACATTGTTTGCATCGCTCCGCAAGTGCACAATGGGTTAGCCCTAAGGCCCCAGTGGTGTAGGTTGGCTGCACAGGGGACCTTGCTCTGTTTTGAACCTGTTTAACAAGGACCACTTCCATTGTTTTAGTTCAAAGCCAGCAAGTTGACAGGTGGGGTTTGTCACAAGGAACTTGTGTGTGACTTCCCGTGATTCCCATTCCTTGATCCAGAGAGTGTCTGCACAGATCCTGGTCAGGGAGGTTGCTCCATAAGGGGCGTTGCAAAGGAAGACAAGCCTTGGATGGGTCAAGCAGGCCATCATAAAATGGGAGATAAGGTGCAGCATGAATGGTTTTGACCAGCTTTCGGGTCATTGTCAGACGATGGATATGTGGGGGAGTAATCTTTGCAAGGATGGGAGGTCAGGGGAGGGGAATTGAGTGGAGGGTTCCAGTTGTGATACGCGTGGTTGCATTCAGTTGGTGTCAACAGGATGTGTATGTGATGACCTTTGCCAGACAGGTGCAAAATACTCTGCTGCTGAGTACGATAGGACAAGAGCTGAGGTCCAGAGTGTTGTGGCTACAGTCCCCCACGTTGATCCAGCAAACTTGAATTCAGGATTTGACCTTTGCAGCTGTTTTCTTTAGATGTTCCCAGAAAGTCAAGGTTCTGTCTAGAGACACTCCCAAGTATGTTGGGCAAGGATGGTGTTTTAGTTTCTGGCCACCCATGCAGATGTTAAGTTCTTTTTTGGCACTGGCATTATGGAGGTGCAATACACTGGATACAGTTTTGGCAGGACTCAGCATGAGCCGCCATGTAATCTGCCAGCTTTGCCACATCTTCATTCAGGGTCTGGTGCAGAGTGTGAAAAGATAGCGCTTGAGGAGCGCGGTAGATGCCATCAGCATAGATGAGATTGTGGGATGTGGTTGTTGGTAGGTCATTTATGTAGAAGTTGAACAGGGTTGGGGCCAACACTGAGCCCTGTGGAAGTCCATTGACCTGTCTCTTCCATGTGCTTATCCCCTGCCCAAGATGGACTTTGAATCATCTGTTACAGAGAAGTGTTTCGGCAATTGTAATGACCCAGCTTGGGAGTACTCTTGACAGCTTTAGAAGCAGTCCAGTCTGCCATACTCTATGGTAGGCAGCTGCGTGGTCACCCAACCGATCCCTTTCCCTAGAAGCTGAGCTGCAATAAGGACAAGTGCAAAGTCCTGCACAACCCCATGCACCAGTACAGGCTGGGGGGTGACTAGCTGGGCAGCATATCTGCGGAAAAGGACCTGGGGGTCACAGTGGACAAGAAGCTGAATATGAGCCAGCAGTGAGCTCTGGTTGCCAAGAAGGCTAACAGCATCCTGGGCTGCATTAGTAGGAGCATTGATTCTTCCCCCCTATTCAGCACTGGTGAGGCTGCACCTGGAATCCTGTGTCCAGTCTTGGGCCCCCACTACAGAAAGGATGTGGATAAACTGGAGAGTCCAGTGGAGGGCAACGAAAATGGTTCAGGGGCTGGGGGACGTGACTTAGGAGAAGCTGAGGGAACTGGGCTTATTTAGTCTGGAGAAGAGAAGACTGAAAGGGGATTTAATAACAGCCTTCAACTTCCTGCAGGGGGTTGCAAAGAGGATAGAGCTGGACTGTTTGCAGTGGCAGCAGACGACAGAACAAGGAGCAGTGGGCTTAAGTTGCAGCAAGGGAAGTTTAGGTTGGTTATTAGGAAAAACTCTCTCACTAGAAGGGTAGCCAAACACTGGAACAGGTTACCCGGAGAGGTGGTGGGATCTCCATCGCTGGAGGTTTTTAAGACCCAGGTAGACAAAGCCTTGGCTGGGAAGATGATAGTTGGGGGTGGTCCTGCTTTGAGCAGGGGGTTGGCCTAGATGTGACCTCCTGAGCTCCCTTCCAACCCTCATTTTCAATGATTTGAAGCTCCATGAATTAATATAATATTCTTCCTTGCTACAATGAGCAGTTTTTTTGGGGCTCTTCATGGATTCGTAGGGCCATGGCAAGAACACCAAAAAGAAGGGATTCATTTCAACTGAGATTTTCAAAGGAAAATGACTGAAGACAAGCCTAAGGGAGTTTGGCACCTAACTAAATGTAACGAAATCCATGTTCCTTTGAAAACCTTAGTCAGTCCAGCTTGCTGCTGCAGCTAGGGATATATTACCAGCTGGACTTTGTTTTTCTTTCTTTCTTTTTTGTAGGAGGGAGAGGAAATGTTTGAATAATAATTATTGTGTCTTGAATTTTTCAAAGCAGCACGTGACTTGGAACCCAGGGGAAGGCAAAGCCCTGGAGCACTGAATCCTCGGCAATCTGGCAGCGAAGCGTCTATAACGTGGGAGCAACCCGAATTGCCTGTTCCTGTGCTGTGGATCGATAAGACTTGGTTAGCTTCAGTGTAAGCGTATTTCCTCCACAGACTTCAAAGCTGCCTTCACAGCGTTATCCTCATGTCACCGGTGGACAAAACTGGCACATGGAGGAGGGAGCTCTTTGTAGTTACAGAGGATTTGAGTGGAGGAATTGGACTCCCCTTCCAGAAAGGAAGGAGAGTCTAGTGGTGGGGGGTTTAGCCTGGAGCGCAAAATAGCGACTTGTCTAAGGTCATACAGGACAGCATGTGTCTTCCTCTGCTTCCATACCTCATTTATAAAGCCAAGATCATCAACACATTCCCCTATGACAGGAGTTTTTGGAGGATGCCCATGTTAAAGCTTATGAGATATCCAGAGGCTATAGTAAGGGAGGCCACAAAGAGAGACAGAGTGCAAATTGGCACCCGAGCTTCTACCTTTGCCTTGGTTTCTCTATGGCGTCCTTCACCACAGTAGCTAAGCACAAAACTGTTCCCTCCCTGCAACTGGGCAAAGGACTTCAGCTCCCAGGGCTGCCAGTCTGACTCCTCTCACCAAGAGGTGAAGACAAATTCTTAGTGTTATATGAGATCTTTGGTATGTAACTTCTGTACCTTGGATGTTGCTAGTAAATACCAAGGAGAAATATTTCTGCAATATATCGCATGCTGAGATTGGCTGATGACCGACAGGCAAGGGCTTGCACCCTCCGGGCAGCTCTGATCTATCTCATCCTGCCGGCACATAGGTCAGAGCGGCTCCATCTCTGAAGAGCTCATCTTCGTCCCTCAAAGGTTTGATACTTTTTTATTCTTTTTTTTTTTTTTAACCTGGCCTCCTGCCTCATCAGCTTTTCCTGATGAGAAACACAGGAGACCTAGCGAGACTCTGTTAAAAACAACATCCACAATTCCACTAACTCGTTAAACAGAGAGCCTGGAAACTGCCAACACTTCGGCAAGGAGAGACGAGCGAGAGAGAGAGGGAGAGAGGAGAGAAAAAGCAGGTTATTTATAACATCAGGCAGCGTTAGGGTCTCTTCACTCTCCTCTGCAAACTGTCTGCTGTTAGGAGGTCACTCACAAAAAAAAAAAAAGAAAGAAAGAAACACTACCCTGCTGAGCCTGTGACCTGCAAGCACAATATTTGATCAGGGATCTGGGGCGGGCACCAACCCTGGCAAACTGAGATGCACACACATGCTCTTTAACACAAGGAGATCAGGCAGAAGAGTGCTGAGGCTTTGGAAAAGACCCTCTTAGCCTGGTAAGTTCCTTTCTGTATTTATTTGGATTGTTTCTGGCTCCATTTATTTGCCTACCTATGTGGCAGAGGGAATGCAACCCCGCTTGCCACGCTGCCAGCACGACGCTGAAGCAGGGTGGCATGTGAATCACATGCCAGCAACACGGGTGGCACAGGGCTGAGCCTGGAAGGCTGTTTGAATGGCTGGTGTGGGAGCAGTGGGGAAAGCAATCATCCTTACTAACCATTTTTCCCCCTTGGCAATTTGTGAAGTTCCTGGAAGGGAGAAAGGAGATGAGAGCCTGGCACAAAAATCTGTGCCAGTCTCCATGCTGCAACCTCCACCTGAGTACCCCCTTCTCCCAGGACAGGTACCTGGCTATGGTGCCAGTGTCCCATCTACACTAGGTTGTAGCACCTAGGTTGTGATGGTCAGAAGGTGCAAATGATGAGGGATGGATAAATCTCATGGTGGTACAGGGTGTCAATCCCAATTAGAAAAGTAGTTCATGAAAATGAAACAGGCTTGGTCAGGCTGATGGAGACAGAGATTCAGTACACATATATTATCCTACATCTGGAAGGAACTCAGATACCACCATAGAAAAGGAGTTGGGTGCTGGAAATACACTGACAGCAAGGGTTCAGAAGATGAAAGAGAAGTCCCTGAAAGAGAGGGAAAAGGTGTTGTATGTCGAGGAATCAAGACAGAGACCATCTAGGAAGGTGTTGCATATGGATGAAAGAGCCCCTAGGAGCCATTCTGTGTAATGGAGACTTTCCTTAAGGAACAGTGCTGCACAGGGTAGAGAAATGTTCTTCGATCAGTGTTGCACGGGGGGAAAGAGGACTTCAGCATGGGTGGAGGATGCTTGTATGCCAGGCAGAGCTGCCACAGAAGCCGGCAGCCGTGTTTTACCAGGCAAGGTGCCCCTGGAATGGGAGCAGGGGAAGAGCCGATCCCCGAAGCAGCCCGTGTGCGCTGACATCTCACAGCACACTCAGTCTCTAATGCACCCTGCTCCATGTGCCCCGTCAGCTGCAGGCACTCCCATGCGTATGGAAAAAGTGGGATAGAAAAAATTATGAAAAGCCTGACCACAGAGGTTTCAATCCCTCTTTTCTTCCTGCATGAGCTGTGTGCCAGCTAGCCAGCTCGAGGCAGGGCAGTCGGGATCAGAGCAGCACTGTACCCTCTTTGTCTGGAGTGATGAGATTCACATTTAGTGTTGCAGCTATACATACCCATCCCCTGCTACAGTTTTAGCTGGTGTGCATCTCTCTGAGTCTGGGACAGTTAGGCCCAGTGCTAGCAATTCAGTGGCTCCTAATGGTAACTAATGAGTCTGAGGACAGCCTGCTCCATCTGGATCCTTGGTGGTGGGGCATCTGCACTGCAGAGACAGCAGAACTGGGTCGGTAGGGTCCTACTCCAAGCACCAAGTCCAAAGGGTGCATGGGGCACCAACTTTCCCACTTGCTTGTGTTTCTGGAGGCCTCTTTATTGCTTCTAGTTCAGCAGCACCAGCCAAGACCAGAGACCCATTGGGCTGCACATACAGCTAATGAGAGACCATTCCTGCCTCTAACAGTTGAGAGTTTAAGACCAAAGAGGACAGGACATAGTAGTATTGCCCCGCAAGATGCATAAGTGAAAGATAGGGACACAGGGAGAGATTAAGAAGCACAGCCCTGCTCACCTGCTCCCTTTCCACAAGCATCAGACTCAGAAAGGAGATGATGAACCTGCCCTGGGGATGCCCCTTGCCACTGCTCTCAAGGATGTTGGAGATGGAGACCTTCAGGGCCGCAGTGGGAGGTGCCCCCTCCATGTGGCTTCACCACCTCGCTTCCGGATTTGGTGCAGTCAGCACAGAGCAAGCAAGCCCACATATGCATCGCAACGTGGAGCCCAGGCCTTCCTAGCAGGAGTTCAGGGGCTGCAGCAAGTGCAGGGGACTTACGTCAGCACTGTCCCAAAGTCCTGCCATAAGTGGAAATGACAGTGGGGCAGACTGGGAATGCCTTTGAGAAATGAACTGGGACTGGGTTCTTTCTGGTTTGCTCTGATACCCTTCTGTAGACAGAAACCTTCCCACAAGCCAGCCCTGGCGGCTATTTGCGTGCATGGGCTCCAGGTTGCAGTGTGCATGAATTTCACTCAGCCCTGGGTATGTATTGATATACAGACCTCAGGGCTGGCAGGAGGCCAGAGCTTCATGCCACAGCAGAGGTGACCAGGGCAGGGAACCTTCTTGCTTGACATCATGCTGCATGTAGTTCCAGAGCACAGAGCTGCAGTAAGGATAACCTTAATTAAGAGACTCCCCAGACTCTCCTCCAACCCCGCAGTGAAAGGAGGGAAACCCTTTGCTGCAGTATGGGTGATCCATCTTCAGCGGGGACTAGGTGCACCTATTGCACAGGCCACCACTTCTGCTTGTGAACACCAGAGTCATAAAAGTGACTCTGTGGCTATGAACATCCAGCCTTGGATGGTGAAGTCAGCAGGGAAGCAGAATCCCTTCTCATGCCCCATTCAGAGCAGCAAAGAGCATCACCTGGGTAGATCTCCTCTTTGCCTGCTATTCTACACCAGGTTAGTAAGAGTTAATGAAGGAAGAAAAACCATCATCTAGGACCTCATATGAATCGCACTGCTATGATATGACAGTACTCCACTGTCACAAACAGGATTTACCTACTTAAGTTCTCAGTGAGGTGGGAAGCTTAACCCCATTTTACAGGGTAACTGAGGCACAGGCTAGATGGTGTGACTGCAAACAAGTCACTTAAAAAAAATCTGTAACAAATCCAGGAATAAAATCAAGGTTTGCAGAGCCCCAGTCTAAAACCCTATTCTCTCAGTGGTACCTGCTCTTCTAGTCAAAATATCTCTTGTTCCATTGAACCATCCCTACGGGTCTCGGAGTATGATGATTTGAAATAATCCCAGCAAACTGTTTCATCCCACTAATTTATTCTCCTTTATTTTCTGTTTGCAAGTTATCCATGAGCAGGTGTTAATCTTTTTCTATTGGGTTTCCAATTCATAAATCTATGCTTAATGCTTATTTCTGGGTTTCACATTGACTGTCTTCCCCCCAGTTGTTGTGCTCACCTATTAGCATGCTTGAACAAGATCCCCCTAATTCTTGAGTACTCATGTGAATTGTGCAAGCTGAACTTTGCATCACCCAGGCTTTTCAAAGTGGGCTCGTTTAAAATAAGCTTGAACTTCTTGACTTTGATTTCATACACGTTGCAAACAGTCGGAACGTCCCATTTTTCTGCTGATGAGATGAGCAAAAGTGAGCTGGCAAAATGCTGCAGGAATG